AGAGAGAGAGAGAGAGAGAGAGAGAGAGAGAGAGAGACTCTGTTGCATGTTTTCAAATCTTTTCTTTCTAGATTTAAAATCAGTTACCCGTGAGCGGAAGAGCACTTTCCCAAATATGATCCTGGACATCTCCATGTATTGTCACGTGCTTTACCACAGCCTGCTTTAGTGAGTCCCTAACGACAGCACTTCCAACACCAGTTCCCACAACCATACCTCTACTAAGAGCCCGGCACCTCCCCACCCCCAGGGAGGGCCCCCGCACCTCCCCATAATTGCCCCACTCGGAGGCCCAGAAAATGTCAGAACAAAGAAAATCTATGCTGCAAGTGCCGCTCGCAGGGACCCAGCACGATAGGCCGGGCTGGCAGGGCGCTGCCCGGGAGGACCCCAAGCAGTCGCAGTGAGGTGCTGAGTACCGCAGGAATGACACCCACAGCGGAGCAGGCCTCGCCCAGGTGCTGCACTGACCCGGCCCTGCCCGAGTCCTCTGCGGCCTGGGCAAGGTACAGGGCGTGTGGGTCAACCTTGGAGAAAGACTGGCTGCCTAGGACCGGGAAAGGGAGGTGCCCGGCCATCTGCGGGAAAACGATCCCTTTTCTCTAACCAATTGCCCCAGAGCCTTCAGGTTAGCCCTGCCTCCTCTCCCGTCCGGAGAAGAATGTGTTAAATCCTTCGCTTGGGAGTCTCTCCCACCCCAAATATACCGTAATACCGTGGCGTTCCCGGCGCCGACTGCCGGTCCCTAACCTCGGCCACCTTCTGGCGTTGAAATATGCACATCGCTCTTCAATAATTTAGACACCTGGGAGACTGGACAAGTATAATTTTTTTTCCCAAACACACGAGCATCCGGGTCGCCATCAATCATGCTTTTGTTTTATGTAAGAATGGGCTTTGTGTGTTTAGCTGCCCGACTCCACGCTATTTGCATGCGACTGTTTAATGGGCATTTATTTTAGCTTTGAAGATCTGCTTAAAAATCTAACCCCAGAAAAGGGGGGAGAGGCGACCCTCTTGTGGTTCGCATGGATTTGCCTTGGGGGCCCCTTCCTTTGAGGGGATGGACCTGCGGGTTCTCAATTACAGATGAATTTTGATTCTGAGGTGGGGCATTATCAGGGAACCCGAAAAAGATGTGTTCTGTTTCCTAAATCTCAGGGTTTCTTTCTAGCAAACAATGCTGCAGCCAGTGTTTGTGTGTGAGACAAGTAATTGTGCTCCAAATGCTTAAATAAATCATTGATGGGTGAAATTACACATGCTCACTTAAAGTGTAATGTGATTAAGAGATTATGAGATTGAAGCTAATATCTTGTCTCCCAGCTCCTGGCCCCAAATCTTGACATCAGGAATTCATCAACTACAACTGTCCTGAAATTTACAGATACAATAGGTTTCCTCTGACAGCAAATAAAAGACTACCTCTAAAAATAAAAATAGGTGTGTGTGTTAGGTGTGTGTGTGTGTGTGTGTGTGTGCACGCGCGCGCACGTATATTGTGTTGATCGTGGTTTTGTGATGAAAAGACTTAAAAGGAGAAAGACTGAGATGATGGGGAAGGGTGTTTGCTGGTTTCATCTTTTATTTTCAAAAAGTAAAGGGCGAAGGGGGAGGAGGGGGAAGCGTGGCGGACGCTACGTCTGCGAGCTGATTACTCCTCCTCTGAAAGCCGCTCCATTTCCCGCACGGTGGGTAAGTCCTTTATCGGGGGAAGCCCCGGCCTCGCCCGCAGCCATCCCTTGCCTCGAGGCGCGCGCTGGGCCGGGGCGCGGGAGCCGTTCCGCGACTCCGTAATGACCCGGGTTCGTCGCAGCTGCGCCCTGACCCTTTGTGATGGCGCCGATAGCGCTCGGATGAAATTATGTCCTTCTCCGGGTGTGAAATTACCATGTTTATTAATTGAGCCAGACATTAGCTTTACCTTTTCTTTCTAAGCCCGTGAAAATTTGTGATTCAGGGCAAATGATGCTCCGACAGACGCCGCGCTCCGCGTCCCACCCCTCCCTGCCCGCGCCCCCTCCCTCTGGGCGCTCCCCTTCCCCCACGTCCCGACCAGTTCAGGAAAAGCTTTCTAGGGTTTGCATGCCCCAGAGCCCAGAGAGAAAAAGCCAGCAGGCCTCTGAGCGTGTGAGCGCGTGTGCGTGTCAGTGCGCGTGCAGGGGTGTTTTCCTCTTCGGGAAGTGTTATCAAACAATAATGACCACCCCCGACTCGGAATTACAGCATTTTCCCCCAGAATTCTTGATCGGTAAAACCCAAATCGCTTTCAAGACAAAGGAGCATCAATCAGCGACAAAGACAGATTTAACGTATTAAATCTTTATTAAAGTGAAGTCATTCTTATTGAAATGATGTATTGGGTGTGCAGAAAGATTGGATTTTTTTCCCCCCCACGAGCGTAAGATGGAGATGATGGGGCAGAGCAGCGAGCGCTGTGACTCCCAGTCCTGTCGGTCCCGGGATGGGATTGGGTTCCTGGGATTCTCTGCCCAGGATCCTGGGCCAGGGAACATCTCCTTGGAGTAGAGGAGAGAGACCCAAATCAACTCCTCCTGTTGGTCCTCTCTTTGATTTCCTGAGAAACGAAGTGTGTCGCTGGCCACCTGGGAAATGTCCCCGCCTTGGGTCTCTGAATTAGGGAAACTGAGGAATTGCAGGCAGAGATTCCGAGGCCTAGTAAGGAGAAAGAACGCCCTGTTTTCGGAACGAGACTCAGTTCTCTCTGTAGCCTAAAGAAGGTCCTTGTGCCTCAGGTCTAAAGTGGAAGGAGAGTGTGTTTGCTCCCAACCGGCTCCCGGCCCATCTCCACAATCCTTCCTTCCTCGGGGCAGAATTGAAGGCAGGAGCTGGCTGCCTTCCCGCCTGGGGTGGACTCTCAATTAAATTGGCCCTTTCGGACCTCGGGTCCTGTCAAGGGCAGGGAAGCCAGGAGGAGGAAGGAGTTCAGAACAGTGTCCTCTGCCCCAGGGATAGGCTACCCAGAGTTTTCTGCATTGCATCTGAAATGGCTCCAATTCTTATCTCCCCAGGAAAAAGGGCAGAGGAGGGATCTAAAACCATAGGAGGCTTTTCAGAAAGGCAACCTCAACTTCAACAAGACGTATTTGTGTCTCCACCTTCAGACACACCAACATCCACACCGGCTGAAAATGAACTGTTGGAATCAATTTCCTTGGAATACTCAACTTTTTTTTTTCTATCATATTTCAGCAATGAGCTGAACGTTTGAGCCAGTTGATTCAATTTAGTATTTGCATAACCACGAGAAGAAGGTGGCTTTGCAGACTCGATGAATAGGTCTCTTGTTTGTTGTGTGTGTGTGTGTATGTGTGTGTGTGTGTGTGTGTGTGTAGTGGGGTTAGGGTTTTAAATACCTACAGGGGGTAGGGTATCTCTGGGGCTGTGTTGCTGCTCCGTGTGTCAGAAACAGAGAAGTCACTGCTGGACTGAAGACAGACTATTGTTCCCTTACTCCCCACGTTGCCTCTCCCTTTCCTCCTAGCTACCCTAGAATCCTCCACATTTGAATATCCACAAATAGGACCTTTCTTTCATTCATTCCAGGTACTTCTGCTCTTAAAAGACAAATGTCTCTGGCAAGCTGTGTGAAATCTTGCAATGGCAAGGAGAGAGAGAGCAATGCTGTTCTATACTTTACATATGGAGAAAAAAAAACAAGCAGGATTTTTAAAAAAATAAAGCTCATTTTCATAGAATTCCAACTAGCAGACTAATTAAATATTTCACAGCTCCAAAGTTAAAGCACTAACCTTGGAATTTTTTCCCATCAAATAATACAAATTGGCCTTCTGTAACACCATCCCCCACCCCCACCCACCCACACACATACACACACCCTGCCACAAACTCCTACCAACTGGTTTTCTGAATGGCATTACAAAGGATTTTGTTAAAGAAAAGTCAGACTAATTGCTGCCAGAAGACCCGTCTCTTAGAGAAGTCTGGTTTTCATAAGCCAGATTCAGTAAAGGTTGTGGTTAAATCTAAGCCTCGTAGAAGGTTCTTAAGGTTTTCTCAGCAAAGGAGGGAAATACAAAGAAACACTAAGTTTAACCAAAATGCTCAGTGGGGGGGGGGTTTCCGCGGGTGGAGACAAGAAGATGATGAAGTGAGTGGGAAATTCAAGAGAGTCCTCTGAACTCTTGTTTCCTTCTAGATTTCTCTCCTTAGAAAGGTTTTCTCAAACTTACTAACACCTATTGTCATGGTTTTCCTGTGTAGCTCCAGCATCTCACAATTACTCACCAATGATTCGATTTGTCTTGATGTGGCATCAATGTCTGAAGGCTGGAACTAATTCTAAAAGGGGCACAGCCAAGAACTTTCCAGACCCAGGATTTCCTGAGTTACCTCTCTGCTCAGTGAGCTCAGACCTCCTGTTGGAGTTGGTAGCTAAAGGCTCCTACAGAAACTGACAGGTGGATTCTCCCTCTTCTAAGCTGTGCCACTGAGGTGCACAGGCTTCCTTGGGGCTTGTGTGTCAGTACCACTCCGTGTATCTCCTTAGCCCTCTCCCTTGCTTTCCTCAACCAAACCAGCAAGGTGCTGTTCAGCCTTGTAACAGAGAATTGAAACACAGTGATGCACATGGGGTTTGCTAAGATCTTGATCTCTTTGGCTGTTTGAAGAAGAAAAAGTCCACTAAAAATAAAGCTCCTCATTAATGATCTGGTTTCATTTTGAATTTTCCTGATCAGAACTTTCCTCTCTTCTCTTGTTCCTAGAACTTTCACAGGTACAGTCCCAAAGCTGGTTAGAAACCCCATAGAACTCATCATTTCCTACATAATAGGCTTCTCCCAAGCTCACCTTGTTCTAGTCCATCCAAGAAGCTGAAATGATCAGATCCCATGATGCAAAGAGATGAGAAACTCACTCAGTATCCCAACCTCTGAACTTCATGGGAACCCTCTCAACCATTTTGACTTCAAAGAAACATCTTCAACTCTAGGACTCATTGTTCCCAAGTCCCCAGTATTCCAAGGAAAGAGTTTCCCTCTTTGGAATAATAATAATAATAATAATAATAATAATAATAATTATTATTATTATTATTATTATTATTATTATATTAGGGATACAACCAGGGCCACACACATGCCAGGCAAGCACTCTACCACTGAGCTCTACCCCCAGCCAATGGAACCATTATCTTGGGTCCTTGCATCAAACTAGCTATGGAGAGTGAGAAATAGAATAAGCAGCAATTATGTTTCTTGAGCCTGGTCTCCCCCACTGGCCACTAGAAGGTTCTCAAAGCCTATATCATCCCTGTCTTAGTATTTCGAGTCTTTCCCTTTTCAAGATTATTGTCTCCTAAATCTACATCACACACACACACACACACACACACACACACACACACACACACACGCGCGCGCGCGCGCGCGCGCATACACACATACCAAACATGATAATGTAATTTCAGGGAAGAGAAAAGTAAGGCCAGGGGTCTTGGTGTTATTGAGTCTTTCTATTGTTTTACAACTATAAATGTATGATAAACAAATAAATAAAAATTTAAAAACTCCCCATCTATGTCTCCTGAGAATCTTCATGGTTGAGGTTTTGATGGATTTCATTCATTCCTTTCTCTCATAACTCATTCCTTACTGTCTTATCATCCTAACAAAGTGATTTCTTGTTGCCAAAGACTTGAAGCAACTTAGCTCAGAACTTATCTCCTTCTCCAGGAGCCAGGATGAGTCAGGACAACCTTTTCCCCAAAGTCCTCTCATTCCCCTTCCCACAGCCTAAACATGTTAGAGGACCCAGGGCAGCATGTTTCCACTCACAAACTAAAACTGTGACCTTGAAGGTTTGACTTAAAATGAACATCTGGACATGGACGTGAATAGTGAATTCGACACATCCTCCAAAACAACCTCCGTGATTTCATCAGACTCTGGAAATAAACCAAGCCCAGTGGGAATGGGCATTGAAGATCCATGCAGGTAGACAGAACTCAGTACTTCCAAACCCTTTCCAGTCTTCTTTTTCCATGGAGTTTCATGTCATAAGGATCTGACCTCTTCTAAGGTGGCAGAACCAAGGGACAATGTCCATTGACGTTGCCCTCCTCTCCTTAGCATCATGAAATAAACGGCTTCATGAAGAAAACTACCTAAATCACTGAAATCAGTCTCAATATAGGGGTGAACTTGAGATTTGAAGCAAACTGTTCCTTACCCTGTTGTTCTCATTTTATAAACAAGTGGCAAAGCTGTGTTCTCATAATAGAGCTCCTGGGTTGGTGTGTATTTGCATAATAATTGCTACACAAAATCAAACCTCAAGCTTCCTCTTTCACATTTGGCTTCCTAATTTTTTTTTTCCTCTAGCATCAAAAATACTTTTTAGAGCTGCTTCTAAAGTCTCTTCTAGAGTTCATCTTTTCCTTCTGTGGTTCCACTTTCGTCTAATTAATGAAAGGCATTTTTACCTGAAGCTAAGAGTCCAGTCAAAATATTTCATCAGGGCTGTGGGAGATTTCCACTTTTACCAAGAGGGTATGACCTGAAGGCAGAGATCTTCAGATTCAACTTTTATTTACACCTGTCCCTGGCAACAAAAGAGAGACTGGGTACGTACTTGTGAATCTGGGAGCCATGGCTGCCTGAGGCTGAGGCCACCAATACTATCCTCCAGGCTGGGCCTTTCGCTGAGCTTGTTTGTGCCTGTCCTTTTATTCCGCTGGGCCGCCCAAACACTCCGGCAGAAGCAGTCGATTTTTGAGATTTCAACAGAAAAAAAAAAAAAAAAAAAAAAAAAACCTGAGATGAAACATGTTTTGCTTTGAGGGTGA